GGACCAAACGGTTTCTCCACACTCACCATGTATTCCTTCAATGTCCACGGACGCAATAGATTGCAGGCTACGGCGCCCGACTCAAGTGTTATGATGCATTTTTTCCGCATATCATCTAGCATTCTCAACTGGCATGAAAGAGATACTCAGAAGGATAACTATACAAAGGGATGACCTTGAGAGTTCCGAACGTTCAACGGTTCGGAGTTCAATCAGTGTCGTCAACATTTGATCGGTTGACCGTGTTCTCTGCATGCCCCGACGTCCCCCGGGCCATTGATTACACTTTGAGCAAGATTCCAATTGTTATACGGCAAGATCAATCGCTTTTTACAGATGATCAACTACTTGCGCTCAAACAGCAATGCCGTCTAGCTAGTAGGGCTTCCTCACGGTCTCCTCCATTTCCCTTGTCATTACCCCGAGTACCAGAACTAAAATCGGTATCCTCCCTGAAGTCAGCAGAGACCTTGATTGTCAGAACATTAAATGACTATGATAACATTCCGGGGGATAACATAGCACGTTTCCAGAGAAGTAGAATGATCGGTCACCAGCGACATCAAGGACTGGCTTTCGGAATTCTTAATCCCGATACCGCTGCATGGGCAGCGATCCGTACAGCTTCCCTCTGTTGGGTCGAAAGTGACCTGATCGTGTCCCGCTTTCTCGCCGTGCCGCGCTTGAGGGACCTCGGTTGGCTTCCTGCTCTTTGGGACAGTATCATCGTCGGAAGTCCTCTCGTTGGACGTTTCATCAGATGAGCGATAATATTAATTGTCGCAGAGGAGAACAAAGTTGGCACAATTGTCGCACTTATTGCCGTATCGCCCAACGCAACAAATATTCGGGCAGGAACAAAACTCGCGAAATTCGTAAGAGAACGAAAAATCTCAGGATCTAAGGTCCCAATTTGATTCCCTTCACGGCTCATTGCTGAAGGACGATTTCGGAGGAAGCATTAAAGGCTGGTCAGGTCGATTATTATCAATCAATTCGAATAGCACGTGTTAGCTTCCCTAATTGAAGAACGAAGGAAGACCTAAGAAAACATGTTTTCCTTTGTTTCCTATTGTAGGCGTTGAGAGATCACAAGGGCGAAGGTCTTGAAGACACAACGTGGACACAATGCACATACATGTCGTAGAAGGCACGTCGGTCGTATCGATAGACTTCGGTGCATGCTCAGGGAGATGCAGAGCATATACATGGAATCTGAAGACTGGATGATACAATTTTGTCCGGTGAAAAGCCAATAATTGTGAGATAACAATGTTTGCGGAGAAGCTATCGATCATTCGAAAATATCGTCCAGGGTTGAGTCGTCTCCGAGAGGCACAACCGAATCAGATGATCCAGTAGCGTTAGTTTGCCCTTTCTCAGCTACAAATCCTGAAACCTTGTGTTTCCGTCATCCCAGCTAGGATCATTCCATGCTCATGACGGTCCAAACCATTCAATTCAATCATCACAAACAGGTGGAGAGGTGTGGACAGCAGATTTAGGGTGCACATTCGCTTGGTGATATCAGAAAGTAGACGTCCACTATCACATTTATGAGCGATACATCAGTGAATATGTATATCCTCTTCATGGGTGAACGGTCAGGAGAATGACATGTGGGCTGAGAATTATCCGAGGCGAGCAAACAGTGAGCCTTTTCTCCGTCTCCCTTCAAATTCAGAAGATAATGGAAGCAGAAAGCCAGGAAAAAAATATTTGGAGCTGAACAAGAATGAGAGACAGAAGCCTCCTCGTCTAAGCGCTTCCGTACCTCCTCGCTGATTCCGAGAATGACAGAGGATCGGGTGCGGACGCTTGGCCTTCAAGAAAGAGACGCAGATCGGCTTCTTGACGGATTAGGTGTGCTACGCATTGGCCTAGAGAATATCTGTGATGAGCCGAGGTAGCAAAAGGGGAACAAGGAAAACATACCGTCGATGTCAATCCGCGAGACGAATGTGTCGTCAGCGTCCAGATTTGCGAGCACAGGAACAGCACCTCGAAGGATCAACGTAGTCATACCAGTCATACCTGCATGACGCAGCATTTCAAAAGCACTGTTCTTCGTGTCAAGAATGGATACTCGTTGTCGGACATGGATAAATTACTCGCCTTCTTAGCACACCGTCGATGAACCCATGCGGGCGCCAGCCCTGCCACGAGAGGAATGTGTCGAGACCAAAATAAAAACCAACAGCATAACGTACTTGTGGAAGTTAAACATCCTTAACTAGCTTTGTCATGTCCTGGATACGACTACGGGTATCAGTGGACACCTCCCATTGCTCATCAAACACAGCTGCCGCTTTGCGTCGTGCAAGATTCATTGATCAAACAATCCCGATGAAGACAGGGATATGAATACATCAAGGCGCAAATCCGCATTATCGCTGCACAGCGTCACGCAGTCTTCAGAACGAGAGGTAAACATCGAATCTAATACAATGAACGTTGGATGTAAGTTTCCAAGAGAGTGTAGACAACACAACATACAAGGCTCTTCCGCGCCCTTAAACGGTGAGATCGTCAATCAGAACACCCATGAATCCGTCGGCACGCGTGATGGTCGATGGTGGGAGATGTAGTGCCGCAGACCAGTGTGGATGCCTGCTACTGCATCTTGAGCAGCGGCTTCTTCGTAGCCCATCGTACTGTTGATTGATCCACGAGAAAAAGTCCCTGATAGGGTAAAGAGCATTAGTTGTTGTAGCACGGATACTATGGTTCGCTTGTTAACGTTTCGTCTTGAGAGTAACTATCCACAAAAAGATGTAAGACTAAGTGGGAGAACAGAAAGAGAATACAAGTTCACGCACATCGACGTGGCCGTATTGATATGGACCCTAACGTGAAGGCTATCCCGTATCAGTTGGTGTGTGGAGTCGTCCGTGTCTGGTAGCAGGTCAAATTGAGATAATTCATCCGATCTCATCAGATCTCCCGTCCCTCGGCGCTTCCGAACCAGATCACTGCCACACCGAATTGTGCCTGGCAAGACTCGAACTTCCGAGTCGAAGAGTGCACTGACCACGGTTCGAGTGATCTCGGTAAGTACTACCCAAGCTTCTTCAAACGTCTGATTTCTGAACTCGGCCAAAACAATCCATCGTGACTCGGAGCCTGGAGATGAAGTGGGTCTCTGAGCCCACCAGCCCGATCGCGAACTATTGCTCAACTAAATTCTGGCATTTTCTTCACATTTGACTCGTTCCATTCCAACTTCCGTGCGTTCTTCGTCCATAGCGCTCATAATTATTTAAACTAGGATAATAATCAAAGGCGCTATAGCCAAGTGGTTACGGCGACAGATTCGAACACCTAATAATTGCAAGTATCTGTTCCTCTTTGAGGGCGTAGGTTCAAATCCTGCTGGCGTCGTCCCACGGTAAGAAGACATTTTTAGAATGACTCGGAGACTTCACCAAATTGTCTTGCTTACTACTGAAATTTGTTTTGTCATTTTCAAGCTGATCACTTTGATTTGAGGATTCTCGTTATAGAGGAACATCACCACTGACTAGTGCATTATTCGGTGGGTATTTGAAATGTATCACGAGCGCCTACCATACTATCACGTGTACTGGGTTGCAAAACCACAGGGAGTTGCAAAATGTGGTTTTTTAAGAGATTGACACACATTTGGACCTGATCCTCTCTTAATTCAAGTAACATGAGCTTATTATTGTTTGGATCTTTGGTTTGGTGTGAATTGAGCTTGGTGTTGCATGGCAATTGCTTGATCAGTGGGGAAAATTTTGCAATTCCTAGAAAGACTGCCCTTGGTTTTAATTTCATGCTCATATTTTTGCTCAAATTTTCAGGAGCAAATTGAGTACATTGTAAAGAAAGACTATGCAGAATTTCGAGGTGCCTTGTGCCATTGGGAGGAGTGTAGAGGGTGAACTTGTGTTTTCCGTGACACACTGTGATTTCTTCTGATGAAAATTAAAACTCCGCTGACGCGGTCGCGACCCTTTCTTTCCTGCCACACCATAATCTTATACAGCTCCAGCCCCGCTAGCGACAAATATTGTAAACTCTTTTCCTTCCACGTCCATCCACACTTGACCCCTTTGATACATCCTTCTACCTGGCCCACCCATTATTATAATGCTTATTATAATTGTTAATCATTCATTACATGTTATACATAAATATTCTCCTACATATCCTGTATCATTGCACATAGTTGCTCAATAATCTTGGCCCAATGCTCTGCTCGACGCGTCGTCCTTGGTTAGGTCGCAAGCCCGTGGAGATGTGCCGAAGCGGAGATTCGACCGGCAATGTGACACACCGTGACAAAAGTTTTGCAACTCCCTGTTTTTGGGCCCGGCTTCCTTCCGAGGCAATTCCACAACACTCAACCACAAAAATAACCTTATAAACATCTAGCTGAGATGCTAGTCTACTTGTCCCTTAAATTTGATCAGAAAAAGGTGAGGCCGATGTGTTGCAATCATAAATTTGCTCAAAATTTTGCAACACCCCGTTAGTGATAGTACTACTTTCCAGAATCATTTCGAATTCAACAAAAAATGAACAAGGATAGAAAGTACAATCAGGCCCATGTGCCTACATATAAATCCATCGACTGAAGAGGGTTATACATCGACGGGTATCATAGCATGGTACGTCGGACTCGGACACTAACTGACAAGCGCCAACAGGAGCAAAAAATGCCATGTTTTGAGAAACTGTGAATTTTGGAGTGGTGAAGATATTATATATATTGGGCCCAACTCCAAGTCATTTGGACTACGCGAGAGACTTTGATCCAGGCGATACCTCAATTCGAAGTTGGCGATAATCTGACGTGAAAGGTGCTTGGGTAGGTTAGATTCTTCACAATTAACCAAGGTTGACCGATCAACACAACCTTAACTTACCTAGACCTATCGCTCAAGCCTTAATCGTGCATAAAGCTGGCGCATGGACCTATAACAACCTTGAATAGTGATAGTAGGTATAGTCATTCGGAGTATTTGGAGATGAGCGAAGATTAGCACGAGTTGTGCCCAAGCATAATGATGATCAAGCGTCTTTTGACACAAAAGGGAAAGAATGAATGATCCCTGGTTTCGAGGTGTTCGCGGGTTGTTTAACTTTTCAAGTGATATGTAGGCTTTCAATTTAAAATCTTATTTCCGCGTTCAAGTTTGGGATACAATTATAATATCTGAAAAGCAGATGCTTGATGGCCCAGTACATCCGCTAAGCAAACCCTCTGATGCACTTTGACGTGTATCACAGAAAGAAGCAAAGATCAATGTCATTGTCTGACGTTGAACTTTGAATGGCGAGAGAGCAAGCCAATTTGGGCCTCGATGGCTTCAGCGAGTGGTGGGTGGTGGCAAGGTTAATGGCCCGCGCCAAGTCTGCGCATGAATAATCAATTGGGCCCGCCTCAGATAGGTAGCTCGCGTGACAGGTATGGTATAAGGCCGGCAAAACGACGGTTAACAAGGTAAACTTCAAGTGTTCTTGAAAGAAGCTCCTAAATTGTTGTTAGGACGAGTCGAGTTGAACAAGCCCCAGAGGATATTTACGAATGAAAAGGAGTTTCGTTTCAAGTAGTCTTCGAATTTGAAGATGGGCTAGTCGATCTGGACAGCAATAGACATAGAGTTTGCATTTTCATCGTCGTGTGTTCTGTGGTAGACGCACCTCACAAGACAACTTTCATCTAAGACTGAACGACTCGCAACTGAACAGTATTTTCTGTTGAGTAGGCTCTTCCAAGGCACGATTGGTATCGATCATGGAATAGACGGGCCGGACATCAGGACGAAGATACCTGGCACTCGATAAATCAATCCCAAAGTTTGAGCAATTCGGATGCAGAACGGTCATGGTGGTAGGAAAAGTAAGTAAGATTGGCGCCATCGGAATGTGAAATCTTCATGGGGTTTGATAAGAACCGTCACCAGCCTCCTCGCTACCTCTGGCAGTTTGCTAGTAATCTTTCGGTCCGGTCCAAAAGCCCAGATGAGACGTTCCCGCACCCATGTAGTCCGAGCCCGAGCTCCCAATGCGCTCCAATGGCGGCCTGGCCTGGCCTGGTCGGCGTTTATCAGACACGATGTAATACACTGCGTGAAGCGTCCTGAAGGCTCCGAGCTCGAAAAGGCAGGGATGGCCATGGGTTCCCAGATCCAGGGGTAAGACTCGTTCTGTGTGTGCGGCGATGCTGTGAATCACTACCAAAATTCCACGGGGAACGGAAAGTACATATACATACCGTGAAAAGGTCTGTAAACTAAGCTAACGTGTGTCCACATTCAGCGCGCGTATATTTCGAAGTTTTCCAATGTGATCTAGCAAGAATCAGTCGAATCCTCCTTGAAAACCGCGGCCTGAGCCGCCGGCTCAGAGCTTTCCCGGGACAACTTAGCCCCTATGTACCACCTTCTCTGGCCTGGCTGGGTCTGATTCAACTTAAGGGTCCGGCCGGCTTGAGGTCGGACCTGCTACAACACTACTGCAGAGAGCAATGGAAGCTTTTGCCCAACAACTGGTTTTGCTATGGCAGTGCTTTATGTACTCGACATGTCCTGTCCCCTCTGAGCTTGTGGTTCGACAACCACAAGCGCGATGTATTGGTTGTCTCCGTCCTTTCCTTGGTGCGGACTAAGCTCCAGTGTCCATATACGAACTTGAACCTACCCTAACAGTCACTTTAGTGATGTAAGCGGTGTGGAGACTCATGATTGGTTTGCCGTAAGTACATACCAAGAAAAATGGAGAATAACCATATTTTCATGGCCCATACGTGTACTACGGACGTACACTTACCTCCACATAAGACGTCGACGTAACTGGACAACCAGCTCGCCAATCTCGCCATACTTGGTGGAGCTTCTTTGGAGTCTGGTGACTGACCTGGTGATCTGATTTCTCCGACACATGCCCTTCGTCTAAACCTTCTTACCCCGCACAAACGGCCCGGCAAGTAAAATCGTAGCTTATAAAGAACCTTATATATAAAGAACCTTATAATGCTTTTTAAGCTACACAGTAACCATCATGCCCCACGGCCAGTCTCAAAAGTTGAAAACTAGCTTCTTCAGAAAGCATTCTCTTAAGGTTGGCGACCGAATAACGGATGCTGCGGGGCTTACCTTGCGTGAAACGTTATTCCCGCTATTTCTGGTCACAATCCTATATTTTCTTTGGGTAAGCTTCTCGCGAAGCTGGTGGGACTGATAAGCAACTGAATAATTATGGTCTTCTTAGGGTTTTGCCTATGGACTACTTGACACGTTGAACAAACATTTCCAGAACACGCTCGGGATTACACGAACGCGTTCGTCTGGTCTACAAGCAGCTTACTTCGGAGCGTACCCTCTTGCGTCTCTTGGATATGCTAACTGGGTCCTACGGAAATACGGGTATCGTGCGACATTTATTTTGGGGCTAACTTTGTATGGTATCGGAGCCCTTCTGATGTGGCCAGCCGGCCTCAAACGGAGCTTTGGTGGATTTTGTGGAGCTACGTTCGTTATTGGTAGTGGTTTGGGCACTCTTGAGACCGCTGCGAACCCTTACATGGCTGGTGCGTATCGAAATCCTGTTCTAGTTCAAGTACCTCTTATTCTCAGGTTTCACCAGTGACGGGTCCCCCGCGTCATGCGGAACTGCGAATTAATTTGGCACAGGCCGTGCAAGCAATTGGAACAGTAATCGGACCAGTATTGGGCTCCTACGTATTTTTCAAGGAAACCGGGGACAGTGTTGCCGCTCTCAAGAATGTTCAATGGGTATACCTCGCCATAGCTGTCTTCGTTTTCTCTCTTTCTTTTGTGTTTTTCTTTGCGGTAATTCCTGAAGTTACAGGTGCATATTTTTCTAGGTTTACATGTGCCTGACAAGTTCCTTACACGTCTGCCATAGATGCGGATATGGCACAGCAGGCTGAGGTGACACATGTCGGTGATAAGGAGAGCGACAGACCATTCTGGACTCAATATCGTGTTTTCCATGCTGCCTTCGCACAATTCTGTTACACTGGATCTCAAGGTTCTTCATCTTGCGGATACTTCGTGTTCATCCTCTCATTTCGTCCCTACAGTCGCGATTGCTGGTTATTTCATTAACTATGTAACTGAAACGCGAGGTCAGACATCATCGGCTCTCGGCGCCAAGTTCCTCGCCATTGCACAAGGCTGCTTTGCTATCGGACGGTTCTCTGGTTCCTGTATGTTGAGAAACTGGGGAAGCGAAAAGTCCACCGCTTATTGTTCATTTTATTAGTGCTAATGCGCTTCACCAAACCACGCTATGTCTTCCTGCTGTATCTTTCTGGTGTCATCGCTTTCTGCAGTGCCAGTATAACACAGCGAGGTAACATCGGTCTTGCGATGTTGAATCTGACATTG